TGCCAAAGGTGAAAACTGTTTCATTAGATGATTGGGTAGTTGTTTGTCCCGAAATAAGTGAAAAATTCAATGCCGCGTGGGGATGCATGTAAGCGCGATCTGATCTGCGCGGCCTACACGTATCCACGCGCGCCGCCTCGTAACCACTAGCGAACTTGACACCTTCGACATCGGGGAGGTGGGAATTTCCCTTCCCCCACGCACCTAAACGGATAGGAATCTTCGGTTTCACGTCGGAAATTCCCCCTGCCGATTAAACGCGTGCGGAAGAATTCCATCACACCGCAATGACAAGATGACGTACTCGAGGGACTCAGATTCGTCGTGGGATCCAGAATATTTCGACCCCTGGGTGAGAGAGTGTCTCAGGCAGAGATATCCGAAATTCCCCTGCCTAACCGAGAATCGATTGTGCCTCAGGGAGTTTCACTGTGCCACCACCAGCGATCCGAGGTGTCCCGGTTTTCCCACTTCGGACAACACCCATTACTTCATATCCCCCTGCTTCGTTGTTATCGCTACCAACTTCCCTCCCTTCCGTCTCCTCCTCCTGTATCACCAACTCACGGTGGTACTGTGGAATTCCATCGCTTCGTACTGGCCCCGCACGCCTTGCGGAAATTGTCGGCGACGCGGTAACCAACGAGCCCCTGAAACTAGAGGGCGACCAAAACGCGCGACGACAGACGCCACGTGCCGGCACCCAAAGGACCGACCCATCGGGAACACAACTATCCCGGGCGGGCCCCTCCCCGAACCGCCACCGCCAAAATAGACGGATCGGACGGCCTTGAAAGAACCGCGCATGCCATCTGCCTTATGCTGCACGACATAGAACGCCAACAGACCGGAAGAAACTCGCCCTTAGCCCTATTGCACCCGTGCCCCTGAAACCCTGCCACAGGAGATCTCAGTTCTGACCTGGGACTCCACCCCCACTTTCCCAGAAATCCTTGGCACACCCCTTTTCGCACTTCCAGGCCCACATCCCACTTCGATCAGGAAGTCGCGCCGGGCGTGAGGTCAGGGCGTCACAGCGATTGCATCCAGTGTGGACGAATGCCTGTGGGATGCGTTGTCGATGTCGATGACGGCTGCAGTCGGTGTCGATCCCTCGACTTCTCTGCTGGAGGCCTTCGATAGAGGTCAGGCATCAACGATAGAGGAAGCACACATGGAACAGGAGGACCACAACAAGCAAAGTTGTGACTAGGAGCAGAAGTGGCAACCTTCAATAAAGGTCGACCATCAACAACACGTAGGACAGGGCCGTAATTCTACGACGACGGTGAAGGTCCATCGAACGGCGACGATGAAGGGAGCAGACGGTAGAGGACAGCATATGACACACGCACTCTAACGGGCCGCATGTCCTTGCACAGCGAGCTGGGCCGTGGCCTGCGCGGTCGCTTCTAAAGTGGGCCACAGAAGACCTGCTCTTCGCCTGCCGCCCATCCATGCTAACGTCCTTCTTCACAGACCGCCTTTTACGTGTATGTCTGCCAAGGGTGCAGACGTGGAAGAAGACGACAAGGGCAAGTCAAAGGATGACCAGGAGCAGCAGCGGCAGCCTTCGAAAGACGTCGGCCATGAGAGGCAAGTGGGGAAGGGCAGTAAACGGCAGACCGGAGCATAGGACAAACACCTTGTAACGTTTTTCATCGCAGAATACGGTGGGCGATTGGAGCAAGGGGGATTGGCTGAAGTATTCAAATTTGCCGACCATTCAACCCCTTTCCGTTTGGTGGCACGCACTGCAAGGGAGAACACTGGTCGACGATGTCCACGAGGGCCGGCCGGCCACCAATGCTTACCGTTGGTGTAAGGTTCCTAGAAGCCGAACGTTAAAGACCCAAGATGTCTGTGCGCTGCGCGGTAGGAACTCCAATGGACCAGCCGACGGAAATTTCTTGCGGACGACGGGTGCCCTTGCCGCGCCGATTATTGTGGATCCTTGACCTCCAAGGGACCGTAGGGGAATGCCACCAAATGGCTGTAGCCCGAGGACGCCCCGAGGATTCCCCAAGGAAATGTTTTCACTTTTTTTTTCGTTTTCATCCCCGGCCGGAGGTGGAACGGAATTTTCCTCGGGGGATTCACGCGCCCAAGGAGTGTCTAACGAGCCCCATTGGCCAGGAATCGAAAGTGGGGGTCCCCATTAACTCATCGCGTGCCTCCGAGCTTTGCTTCACGGAGGGCTGAATTTTCAAAATTTGTCATGCCATTTATAATAAAAGCCAAAGGCCATCCAAAGTTCTGCACCTCTGAGGCAACACCGCAGCCTCTGTAAAGCTGCATTATATTAATGTTCATTACTGTAGTCACTGTAGCCACGGTAGTCCCTGTATTCACTGTAGTCACTGTAGTCGTTGTAGAGCCCATAATAATTGTAATATTGCCAGCCTCAAGGAGCATGCACATGAGCTGCGTCATCATATTAATGGACTTTACTGTAGTGTTTATCATTGCGATATTATTTTTATCTTTTTGCTTACCATCAGACAGCTGAGGTTGGTTTCCCATTCTTTGTTCTGTCCCAGGAGCTCCTTATGATACTATGTTATCATTGCAACCTATTTTTTCTTTCCTTTTCCCTCCCCTGATTATCATGACCTTTTTTCATCATTGGGCGGGGTTGTTGCCCATTTTCTCCTTTGAACTCAGCGGCTGATGTACACTTATACCCAAGAAGATGCAGAGATGTTTCCACAAACCTTCCATTATTCTCTTGCCAGAGGTCATACTCATGGACTGAGCCATAGCAGATGCACTTTTATATTCTTTCGTGCATAATCATGCTATACATATTACGCCATCAGTTTTTCGACTGTGCACCTACTTACACATGGCAAGCAGGATCACAAAACTTGTGGGGATTGATACGACCCATTCACAATTCTGTTTGGCCACCCGGTCGCACGTACAGGGTTTTGAGGATGGGACAACTCTGGGACCCTCTGACGTTTGCGCCATTTGGGAATTGCTCAGTCACACATTCAAGTTGCAGAAGGCGGGCTTCTTTTTCTCGTTTCTCCCTGGCTTTATTTTTTTGCCCGACAAGAATGGGTGTTTCTGAACACTTGCACACTGTACTACATGCGGTACAGAGCCCAGTCTGCTCCGGGGGTGCAGTCCCACTGGCAAAGTGGATTGGATTGAGCGCCTGAATCTGGATGTGTTTTGTGCAGAGATGCAGAACAGTCGGTCAATTGCGATTCTCAGCACCTCTCCGAACACATCCAGATTCATGTGCTAGATCCAATCCTCTTTGCTAGTGGGACCACGCCCCGGGTTCCTTCATATGCCTCAACTGTGTTTGTGGATAGCGTTACCTTCAACTGCTTCTCCGGCGCCATCAACATAACGACTTTGAGCCTCCCTCAACTGCACGACATTTTAGATGTATCTTACAGTATGTTACGCAGGTGCATTTAGAGTGACATTTTGAACGTATCGGCACCATTATAAAGCCTAGTGCATGTAGAATTTTGTGCAGCGGAGCAACTACCTTTGTGGGAACTGGGTGCAACCACAACGGGAGAGGTTCTCCAGGTTTGCGGAAACCCACGGGACTGCTGTGGGATCCAGGAATAGACGGGTGCAAGTCAGAAGGGGTCGGCGGATGCACAAGGCAGAGGAAACTCACCTGGACAGAGGTGGAGGCCGGCGGAGGAGGGAGGAAGGTCAACAACCTTTGTGGGAACTGGGCGCAACCACAGCATGAGAGGTTTTCCAGGTTTGCAGAAACCCATGGGACTGCTGTGGGATCCAGGAATAGACGGCCACAAGTCTGAAGGGGTCGGTGGATGCACAAGGCAGGGGGAACTCACCTGGACAGAGGTGGAGACCAGCGGAGGAGGGAGGAAGGCCGACTCAAGGCAGGGGGAACTCACCTGGACAAAAAGAAGACTCCGTCACAAACTGAAAACCCGTTTCGGACGGGAAATCTGCAATGCACAACAGGACGAAATTGCAGACCTTGGGTGTGATTGCGTCCGACTTGCCGAATCCACCCGTTCTGGTATATGGTTGAAGTGATCAACTGACACCAGAAACATAGCCTCCGTATTCGTATCCACTAAGCGGTCGGCTGACACCAGAAACAGAGCCTCTGCCGACCAACGATTTGTATTAGCCTCCACTAAGTCCGTAAACCGTGTTGTCATGAGTAGACTGGTATCTTACACTTTGTTAACCGCCACTACCTTTCCCCCTGGTGGGAAACTGGGGAAATAGCCTCCAACGAAAAAAATTGGGGCCTGGGCCCAACGTCGGCCGCCGTTGATAAATCTTATCGGTGGCCGTCATTTCGTTCCGGCCTCTGAATCGATTGGGTAACCCGCGGTGTGAAAACAAGGCCCAGGTAGTGGTGGTTTAAGGGTCAATAGGAAAAAGAAAATGAATGAAAGTAGCGCAAACCTAAAGGTGGGTGGTTTGATTCTTTTTTTTTTTTTTTTTTTTTTTTTTTTTTTTTTATTTTTTTTTTGTGATTGATTGATTGATTGATTGGTGGGGGAGGGGTAGCCCCAACCCCCTGCACCACGGGCTGCGCGCGCGCACTCACAAACACACAGAAATGGCTAATTGGATTAAAAAAAAAAAAAAAAAAAGCGTTTTTTTTTTTTTTTTTTTTTTTTTTTTTTTTTTTTTTTAACTTCAATGTGCAGGGTGTTGTAGAGGCCAGTCAGTGTGTGCACAGTGATCACCAGGAACTGTGAGCCGTGGGTGTCCTGGAATATGAGACCACCTCACAACCCATCCTCACGCCAATACTCCTAGCGCAACCCCTATCCCACTATTCTACCTCAGTGTGACCAGCACTCAGGACCATTGCCCTACCAACGAGCAGGCAACTTGGACCGAACAGCAGTGATACGCACCAGGGCTGATAGATTGCCCAGCCCTGGTGGAAGCGGAATCGGACGAACCTTGTCGAACGGGAACTTCGGACCTGCAACTTCTGCTGGATCAACATTTAGGGTGCTTGCGCTGGATGATGATGTTGTGGCATGCAGCCTCTCACAGCCTCTCTTAGCTGTCTTAGCTATATAATGGGTGACATCAGGCAGTTAATCTAACTGCCATTCACAGGTTGCGCATCTGCCACTTGGGTGCTGCTCCATGAGGTCTTGAAGGGAAAACATCATGCCGTGAAGTTCCGGACAATACGCATGCAGTGCAGTATCAGAAGTTTTGTGTTCCCTGCGCCCTTGAACACAGCATGCACCCAGCATATCGTCATTACGCATTTGAAAATGGCCATTCACAATGATGTCCAGAATGTGGGGCCATTTCAGGGCTTTTACTGGACTGAACACAAAAGAATTAGCAACGCTTCGTCAGAAATTAAATGTGGGACCAGCCCCTGAACTGCCTGTCAGTCCCAGGGAACCATTGGGGACTAGAATGCTAAAGATAGTGTGCTCGACATCTTTTGTCTCTTCTGGTTCTTTTCTTTTATTTTTTTAACCTGATTCTAATGCAAAAGAGATGGGGTAGCGAGTTATAGAAGAGAAGCTGTCATGACATATCTTTCACAAGCTCCATCTCTTATTATCGTCAGGCCCTGTTGAAATCCGCAGGGTCTGTGACAAATCAGACTGACATCATGGAGCTTTGTCCTAGCTCACAAAACCTTGTGAAAGTGAGTCTTTCATTTCATTTTGAGTGCACACGGAGATCAATGAGGAGGGTGGCAGATAAGCTCATTTCAGTTGTGGCTAGGATGTATTTCTTTTGATGTCAGAGTATCCTGAATCTGACGTGGGATTTCTCACTCGGCAGCACTTGTGAGGTGTCCCACCAGGGGCCTCGGCCCAGTGGTTCCAAGGTAAAGCTTATACAGAAGCCAATTGCTTGGCAGCCCTAAGATTCTAGTATATCCCAAGGGCTGACAATTGATTGGCTCAGGTTCTAGTATATCCTGCTGCTAGGGGGTGGTACCCCCGGGAGGTCCTATCGACTGACAACTCGATTGCATTTCTGCAAATGTGTCAGACCCCAATGCAACTCATAGATGTTACAGCCCTAACGACAATAGGATGGGTCTCTAATCTCAAACTGAGATGCGAGTATCAGTGTGCCTATGCTAGCAAGGTTGCCGGAAAGATGCCCATCATACTAGCATCATACACTATGTGGAAAGCATACTGTGTACATGATGCGGCCATTTCCGAGCTACAAGCTGACCGACTATCTTAGGACTCTCTCTTAGTTCAGTGTGAATAATCGATCAAAATGATACAAATGGATAGTTATATATGTGCTTGTATACCTCACAGTCTC